CGGTAATTACTATACCCCCTTCTCATATAGTTGCCAAACATGCCCCTATAATAATTGTAATTAGAACCATGATGACGATTTTAGTCTGGATATGTGCATTATGTCTTGGTTTCAATTTTTATAGAGTGACAATGACACAGTTTCAGTATCCATCAACCTTTATAATGATTGAGAATTTCTAATCAAACGGATATATTTTTTTCTCTAAAAAACAAAAGAAAAAAAATACAATCGTCCGCTGAACACCAATCCAACGCCCCTAATGGCCACTTGAGCCGCGGCATCGCGCACGCAGGAGCTCTCGCTACACTTCCGCACGAGCGCCAACTTCAGGTGGTCCGTTCGGCGGGCCAGGCAGCTATCCACTCGCAAAACGGCCAACGCCCGTGCAAGCCACCCGGCCCGGCCCGTTCGAACGTTCTCTGATTGTGTCCGTGAATCCGTCCCAAATCCCAATGTCCCATGTGACATGCGCATCCGACGGGCAACGGCGCAGGGCATAACCAGAACCACCGCCCCTCTCTCTCTCTCTTGCGCGTGCGCCACGCAAGACCCGTGGAACGGTGGCCTCTACAGGCCCGACAGCCTGTCATACGAAACGGGAAAGCCCCCGCCGCGCCCTGGCCGCCTCCTCTCCGCTCCCTTCCTCTCCCCGCCGCTGGCCGCACCTCCGACTCGCCCAGGCGAGAGCGGTCGGAGGGCAGCGATCCTGCGGCGGTGGCCGAGGTGTTGGGCCGCGCCACTTCCTCCCCTCCCATCAGATCCCCACGCTTTCTCGCTCCTCTTCCTGCCCGCTGGTTAAACCCCTGCAAAACCCTCCTTCGCCTCCGCCATGACCATGCCCACCGAGGACGACCCTGAAGCTGAAGGGTAGGCTACGTTACTCTCGCCTCCCCTTCTCCTGTACTACGAACCACTGCCACCGTCCAAACCCTCATCTCTTCGTCTTTTTTTTTCGTCGGGGTCGTGCAGCGGCAAGGCGGCGGCGGCGGCGGGGGCAGCGAATGCAGTGCCTCCACCAACCTACCGGTCGCTGGCCGCGCCAGTGAGCAAACCCGTCGACAAGTTCGCGCTCCTCCCCGCATACCTTAAGGTCAGCAGAACGTTCTGACTCTACTGATCATATGCCTTCGATTGTCTGTGTGACTGACTGACTGTGTACGTTGATGGAATCCATTAACATTTTTGGTTTTCTTTTTTTAACGCTTTCTGTATTCACGAGGCACAGAATTCTGGTACTAGGCTGCATGCTTCCTTATAACATATCCTTTCTTGCTCTGTTTTGTACTAGTGTTATTATTTTTGTATCTGTGCTTGTTGTTGGCTTCATTTTATTCTAACCAATTAACACAACTAAGCCTTGAATTGCTCATTCTTTTGTTCAAGCTTCAAACTCATGCATGTTGTCTTGGAGCGACAGCAGCTAATTCAGTTAAAAGTTCTTGTTGACTTGACCATTCTTCTTTCTGTTCAACTTGTTTGTTGGAATCCCAGGTTAGAGGGCTTGTGAAGGAGCACATTGATTCATTCAACTACTTCATTAACAAAGGAATTAAGGACATTGTCTTGGCAAACAATCGAATTGAAGCACGCAATAACCCATCCATTTATCTTAGGCATGCTTATACAGTACTAAGTGGCATTAGTCTATTTTAATTATTCCCTAAAAGATTTTCTTTTGTTGGTGGTGTAGGTACACTGATGTACATGTTAGGACCCCCTCTGTACAAGAGGAATTCCGAACTGAAGTAATCACACCACATGCTTGTGGTAGCAAGTATTCTATTCCCTATCAGTTATCATCGTTTTCCCAAATTTGAAATTTCCCTTATTTCTTCAGTTATTCTGCTCCTATAAAAGTTGATATGGAATATACTGTAAGTAATCAGCCTGATGTGAAGAGAGAGGTAACCCCCTAATCTCTGATTGAATAACCTTTTACTTGGTTGATACAAATAATGAAGTATTTGTACCCCTTTATTTTTCAGAAGGACTTTCTCATTGGATACATGCCTATTATGCTTAGAAGTCACAGGTGTATTCTGAATGGAAAGGATGAAGCTGAACTAGCAAGATATGGTTGGCCTATTTCTGAAATTCTTGTTCATATAAATAAAATTACCTCTGTTAGACTGAATTACTATTTTATCTTACTGGTCATTTTGATTGTCTCACTTAATTTTTTTTTTTTTTTTGCAGGTGAGTGCCCTCTTGATCCTGGTGGCTACGTTATTGTCAAAGGAACTGAGAAGGTAACTAAAAACAGTGATGCAAATTTCTCCATCTTGTCAATTGAGTGGTTGGTGTCCCACGTCGCCAGCCAATTGGAACCCACAAGTATTAGTAACTGATAGGTGCTTAGATTTGTCACAGAAATTTCTGCTTGTTTGGTGTATATATAAATAACGATCTTTTGATCTGTGTTGATTTTTAGGTGATTCTAATACAAGAACAGCTATTGAAGAATCGTATTATTATCGACACTGACAATAAAAGAAGGTCCTGCACGTGTCCGAGTAACTCATTTAGTTAATGTATCTACTATTATTCTCCAGAAAATGGGCATCTCTATTTAACAAAGGGAACCTATGACATTGATTTTGTCCCTGAACCTGCTGTCATGCATTTGAGTTTTAGGATGACAGCATCTGTAACCAGCAGCACACATGAAATTAAAAGTAAGACAGTGATTTGCTTGGATAAGGGGAAGATCTATGTACAGCTCAATCAATTCACCAAGCCGGTATGAATATGTGCTCTTTTGGCCTTGTTAAGAACTCCTTCCAATCCATATATGGTGACTTGCTACTTTAGCTTGCTTTTAACAACATAGGGGTCCGCTTTAAACTAATTGTATATTTAATTTGTTCCTCCCACTTCTATATCATTTCGGTTTGAATGTTATGTAATAAACCATTTCATGGTACTGGATGTGATTGTTGGGATGGTTCATAGATTTCAATGTTTCCCTTGTTTCAGAAGGTCTAGCCAAACAAGTATAGAGACAGGGTGGTATTGTTTCTGGAAGGGGGATGACAATATTTTTTATAGAGAGCCTATTGATGAGTTAAAGAGCACTTGGATCTCCTGTCTTTGCTTAATTGCATTGCATTGGCAAACCCTCTTTTATCAAGCCATCTACTTAACACCGGCTGAGAAAGCTACTTAAATTCTAACAGTAGACTGTATTGTAATTAGTCCCTGTCTTCGTTATCTGATGATATTATCCCTCCTATCAGTGCAGAAATTTAAGGGGTCAAAGATGAAAGATCTCAATAGTAACAAAAGTACTACATGAGTTAGTTGTATGAGCATGTTTGTCAGCTTGACCACATGAGTCGCTTGTTGTGTTGTGCTTGTTTTTGTTTTTCCTATTGAGTTAAATGCATCAGAGGTCCATTAACTTAAGTGGAGGTTACAGTTAGATCCATCAACTCTAAAAATTGTTTTTCAGGTTAAACTTTTTAAGCGGTTCACTGAGTTCCATACCCCCTTCGTTTAGCCGTTAGATCTGACGTGGCATGTGGAGTCGGCAACCATCATGGCATGAAATTTGCCAAGCCTATGCTTATCCCCCGCCCACGTTGCCCTCCTTTCCACTCCCTCAACTCTGGCATCTATGCCTCTACTCTATCTCTACTCCAGTGCTCGCCATCACCATTACCGGTCACTGAGCTCCCACTACCGCTGTTGTTCATCGCCTTGTGCTTTACCTCATTCCTAGAAATAAGCTCTACTAAGTCCGTCTCTGCCTCCTCTAACCTTAGTGCTCATTGCAACACGGAAACCATGTCGGAGCTCCTAGCTCGCCATACTGCAGCTGCCATGGTTGAGCTTTGAGCTCGCGTGCGCCGCCACTCCCATCGGTGTAGGTAATCACTGCTTGAATGAGTGCGCGGTTGAGTCCGCCACGGTCCCTTCGTCCCCGCACGCAGGCATTCGAAGCAAGTCTATGTCGGAACCATCATTTCCATCACCATCTTCTACCTTCAGCCAACGTCGACCGGTCGGACGGTTCGCTATAATCTCCCTACGATCAATTATAGCTATGTATGCTCCCGTGGGAGTTGAACCCACCGCATAGGTGCCTTCTTCTACTGAGACCCGAGAGATGAACTAAGGAGCGGCAACCCCTACATCAGTTCTTTGTACCAGTTGCTTTGGTCCACACTGAACTTGGAAGTATTATTTATCATTCGTTGCCTTTTCCATCCTAATACCCGAGATTGTAATTGGTAATGGTTGGATAGGGCCGTCGTCCCCTGGGATGCCCCTGCTGGTGAGCAAGTATTAGGGAAACAACAACGCTCAATCAATAAAGCCAGGAGGTAGCACCTTCCAAGCTCCTGGGTTAGACCATAAGGAAGCTATTATATCTTACTTAAGTTGGGCTTGCCTCTTCCTAGGATTCCATACCTTGGGCCTTTATGTTCATAACGACATTATGCTTGCTTTTGGTACTAAGCTAGGGCTAAGTACCAAAAGCAGGCAGCTATTGAGTATTCACTAAATGAACAAGACAAAGGCCGTCCTGTTTGACCAGCAGGAATGTATTCTTGGAGCTATGCGAGGACAGAAAGTAGTAAGTTCTCTCTCATTCAGTTGTTTTTTCCAGCAGTGAGATTGATCCTTGTGGACGGCTCGCTGCTAGCCTCCATTAGACAAACGAACGCGGTGAGTGATGAAGCTCGCATTCCCATCCATTGCCGACGACGAGTGCTCCCTTGGCCGAATCGGTCCCTCCCCACCATACATGCCTATGTTGATTTGGGGAAGAAAGAAGAAAAAAGAGATGAATCGTGGGACTCTAGTTCCCCTAAAGATGAGTGCTCCCTTGGCTGAATCCGACGACGAGTTGTATCCTGACTATATATGAAAGTCACCCCTCCCTTAACGGGTGTGAGGTGTTCCCCTAATTCTCTACAGGGAGTAAGTTTACTCAGGACTCTAGTTCTGACCTTTAAAGTTTACAGATTCCTATAATTGTGGTCATGAAAGCGATGGGAACGGAAAGTGACCAAGAGGTTGTACTAATGGTTGGAAGAGATCCAAGATATGGAGACCTTCTATTTCCATCTATTCAGGTAACTTGCTTGTTGTTTGCTACAATAAAATGAATATTCTGTCAATTTGTATTCTGATCTTTTAAACTTGTATTTACGATATATTTAAATATTTTGTTCTTTCATAGGAGTGTGCTTCGGCAGGAATTTATACACAACAACAAGCCCTGCGATACATGGATGACAAGGTGGGACATCAAACTGAAAATCATCATATCATCATTCAATTAAACCATTCATTGTGTTTTGAATTATGCTAGACGAGTTGCAGAACATAGATAGTGCTTGAAGTGTATTCAATGCTTTGCACGAGTAGACCCTTTGTTACTGCGTTAGCTTGTCTGGTGAAGTTCTCCCTCCATTTGTTTTTAGTAGGCATATTAAGAATTAAGATTTCAAAAGTCTCTAGAGGTATACTTGGACCATCAATTTCTCATACAATATATCACCAGCTGCTACAAAATCAATGTCAAAAGATCTTTAGAATACGAATCTGTTCATATAACTTATATACACTAAGCATGCATATAATTTCACTAATTGTTGGTCAAGATATATGAAAATTTGATTTTTTATAATCTTATAATATGCCTACTAAAAACGAACAGTAAGAGTAGCATTTAGGCATTTCGCTGGAGATCTTTTACTACGCCTACAATGGCAGTCCCTTACCCAATGTTCCACATTTTTCAAGGGGCTTTATACCTTTCTATGGATGACACCTCTGTTTTCTTGTGATGGTGTTTTACTTCAGTGTTGAGTGTCTTAAGAAGGTGTTTTGGGTTCAAGTTTAAAACCAGAAAGGTGTTTGGGTCTAAGAAGCAAGTAAAAAAAATAGAAATTGTAGCATTGGGTAAGCAACTGAAAGAATATTCTCTCTGTATGTCTGTTCTTTTAAATGATGGTGTATCACTATACCTGTTTCCTTTTAGCCCTCCTTTGCCTCCTGAACCAATAAGCTGGAGCTTGCCATCTAGATGCATTCTGCTTGCAGCCAGGACCATGTTATAAATGCTAAATGTGTTGAGCCAATGTATGTGGATACAAATTGTACAAATCTCTTCTATTTTGCCATACCTTTAATTTTTTCCTCATAGTCCAAAGTCTTCACCGATATAAAGAGGACATAACATTGTGGGTTGGCTGCTTCCCATTCCCATCACACTGAAATTGTGTAATCGAACTGTAAATTTACTGTCTTAGTTGCATTTGTTGTATTGATTTTCTGTGACTTCGCCGGAGCACGTTTTTATTAAGAGGGAAGCAAATAAACACAAGCTATTTGTGTATTTGTACATGTGTACGTAACACAGGCCACTCAGGCCACATATATGCAAGTCACCCAACCCTAAAGGGTGTGAGGTGTTTTTCCCACTTTCTATCACAAACATTTCCTGTAAGTGTAGGCTTACCGAAAGTTGTTCGGTACTGCACTTATAGTGCAGACATGTGATGTTTTGCGGGTGGCATCCTTTCTTGACCTGATGCTCGATTCAAATTTTGCAGGTGATGTATCCTGGTGCAGGTGATCAGAAGGTAAATATCAACAACAGTTCCTGTTTCTTTCTTTCTTTTCTTCCGCCAACATGTGGTTATTAAAAATTTGCTTCAAGTGCAAATCTGTATTTATTCTGAAACTGATCACTTGGTATTAGGAACTAAAGACAAGCTGCAAACTTACCTTCTCATTGAACATTCAAGTTACTCCCAATGTTTACAAATCGTACAGTTGAACCTAGTCGCCATGGGACCGACTAGGTGACTAATTGCGATTAGTCATCGATGGACCAATTAGTTGAGCCTAGTTGTCCAGGACATATGCATACTATATATATATACCTATGCATACTATATAGTATATAGTAAAGCAAGCATCAAGACTACATTAGTGGTTAACTAGTGACCCTTAGTTGTGAGAGTTGATTTCTGCACCGTCCAGAACTCCGTATCCCTGTCCCAAACAGCATCTCAGGGTGGAGAACCAGCAAGTGAGTAGCAGAGGGGCAGCACAACAAGCAAGCAGACTAGCAGAGAGGCTGCAGAGTGAGGGATGGAGGAGGGAAACAGCACACATTGTCGGAGGAGGAGCTCATCACGAAGAGTAGCAGCGACTTGAACTGGTAGAGGGCGGTGGCGGCATGACAGCTTCACCGAAGAGGAGGTAGACGCACAGGAGATAAGGAATAGCAGGTAGGGAGGAGTGTCAGGGAGGATTCCAGCTCTCCTCCTGCTGTATGTTTTTGGTGGCGGCTGGCACTCCTATGCTAACCCTAACAGGTCAAATTGCCAGCCCAATAACCCACATGTAAGCACGGTTAAGCAAGCACATGAAAAACAGAGCAACCAGCCTGATTGTCCCCCTCCTAGTCGGGTGACTAATCGCAATTAAGCGACGACTAGGTTTCTAGTCGAGCTAGTCGCCTCAGTGCCCCTAGTCGACCTCCAGGGACCGACTAGGCCGATTGATATAATCGGACGACTCGTAAACACTGGTTACCACAGTGCTACATGTCTCAAAATATAGTTTCGAAATGACAGATCACATTCTTCATTATTGAATTATGTTTTGTCTTATTTTTCTCTAATTTGTTACTTTCAGGAAGGCCAGTCAAAGTCAATCCTCTGTGATGTGTTTATTGCCCATGTGCCGGTGAGATAAATGATTTTACATGTGATGCAGCCAAACTATTGTCCTCGTAATCATGCCAATCTCTTGTAGGTTAACAATGGGAACTTCCGACCAAAGTGTGTATATACTGCTGTAATGCTAAGGCGCATGATGGGTGCAATCTTAAATTCTGACACCTTGAATGATAAGGCAAGCCTGCTGGCCCATGTTTTTTTTTTTTGACCCGAAAATACAGCAGGGGAGACCCCCACTGTAAGAGATTTTTATTAATTTTCAAAAAGAGGAAAAAACTGTACAAAGAAAGGAGGGGCTAAAAGAACTAAGCCACACAACAGGGCAGGAGAAACTGCACTCCAGAGAAGCAGAAAGAACTAGGAGAGGGGTCTAAACAGAGGAGAAAAACATGTCGTTTTTCTTCACTAAGTCTAAAGGCTTGAAGTTTGGCTTCCTTGTAAAAGGAGGTTTTCCAAGAGAGAAAGGAGCAGTGGCGGGCCCAATGGGTAGTCCAGGTAGGCCTAGGACTACCCTGGAATTTGGCCCAAAAAATTTTTAGTACTTCGCGTAGCCCATGAAATTTTGGCCCATTGCTCATCTTTCCCGGTCAAGACCGCGAGCGGCCGAGCGAAGCCGTCTCCGTGTCCGCGACTCCGCTGTCCGCTCCCTTCCCTCCCGAGTCCCGACGGCCGACGCTCGAGAGTCAGGCGCGCCGCGCGCCCGCGCGCGCCACCGAGGAGCCAGCTACGGAGCCGCCACGGCGCAGCCACGGCGCCCCCACCCCGCGGCCGTCCAGGTGTCCAGCGCGGCAGCGCCAGCCACTCCGCTCCGCCTCCACAACCGCCAGATCCGTGGTGGCCTCGTCGGACGCTGGCCAGCAGTGACGCGACCGAGCCACCGAGGAGCCAGCCGCGGAGCCGCCACGGCGCCGCCACGGCGCCCCCACCCAGCCGGCCCGCCCTGCCAGTGCCAGCGCCCAGCGGCCGTCTAGGGCTCCAGGCGTCCAGCGCGGCAGCGCCAGATCCTCGGTGGTGGTAGCCTCGCCCGCCGTTAGAGTCAAAGACGGCAGCGGCGCCAAAGCCGCCGATAACGCCGGCCAAAGAGCCCAAAGATCAAGACAAAGAAGTAAGTGGTTACGCGCCAATAGCAGTGGCGGCGGCCGTCCGCCCTTCCCCGGTCCCCTCAGGCGCCTGCGCCGATCAGGTTCATGTCATCACGGTCTCCTGACGCCTTTGCCTGTGAGTTCTTATGAATTTGGTTAGGGATTTGATCTTGTGAATGAAATCAGAGCATAGAATTCATTGGATTAAATTTCTTGTCATTTTTCAGAAGACTTAGCCGATTAGGGATTGTAGATCTATCGTCAGTGAGCCTAGAATTGAATGGAAATTATTGTAATTTTTCAAGAAGTTGAGGCATGAAGAAATCAAATATAGCATTTCTTTTTCAGAAGCATGAGGCAAAAAAAGTTGCAACTTGTGCTCCACCAATTCCAGCTGTTGATGAAGAGTTGTCTATTCCTGTTGTAGAAGATCCTCTAATTGTGAGTGATGAAAGTGCTATCGTAGTTGTGGATGAAGGGACAGAAACACCTAGAGTAACAGATACAGACACAGATCCTACTGAAAATAATGGGTCAAATCAAGTTGAAGAAGAAGAGGAAGAAGAACCGCCTACGGCTGCTGATGTTGATTCCCTTGAGCATGACACAGGCCTAAGGAGTCCTATTTCAATCTTTGATGTGAATGAACAAGATTCTATCAGAAGAAGGTACATTTTAAAAGGACCCTATCATCTTTATGTGTAGCACTCGGTTTTAAGAACAAAACCAGATACACACCATATGTGAGCCCAGGAAGTCAAATCTCACATATAGCTACAAATAAGGGTAATATCAAATGACAATGCTTAAATACATAGCGTATTAGTATAAAGAATATAACCTCAGAGTATAGACAGCGTAAAGACAACTCCGATCTTCAGGCAAAGACTCCAAATCCACAGGGACAACTGACTGGTTGATCACAAGCCTAATTCCTCCAAACTCTAACAATCTGGTATCCATCCGGGATTTTTATCCAAATAATTGAAAATAAAGCAAGCGTAAGTACATGTCGTACTCAACAAATATAACATGGGGTTCATAAGGCTCAAAAGGCTGACACTAATTTAACTGCGATTAGCTTTTAATGAGTCATGATTTTAGCAATTGAGTAGCAACAAGTTCACCTCAAACCCATAAACACATGATCAGGTAAACATGAATAATGAATAACATAAACAATTAGCCATTAGTGAGCATCTTCATCATCAGTATCATCTATGTTCATCATCTATTCCGTAAATGTTCTAAGGTCGCTCGTGACCGTGAGCACGGCTGATATACCAGTTTTACACTATGCAGAGGTTGTACACTTTCACTGTGAGTCGTGATTTACCCTTTCGCCCGAGGTGATCAGCCTCTTGGCCCACTACCAAGGAAGGTCGGCAGGATTCACTATGAAGCCTTTAAAAGGTTCGTCTAACAAGTTAGGGCCATTAGATTCACTCGACAAACAGATGTAGGAACCCCCCTGTCGAATGGCACAATTCCATCACGGCTATACACATAAGAGTAGAGGCTGTCCTATACCCGATTCGTCAAGCCATTCTTACGCCAATAAAGGTAACCACTGACAAGCTAGAAAAGGTCCTCATACTGAGCTAAAGCCAGAGCCATATATCCCTCACAGCTGTACTGTAAGTCCCGGATGATCACTTACAGATAAGTCCTTAGGGAGAGGAATCTAGAGCATCATAAAATAGCCCAATGCTCTAGCCCCTTGTTCCATGTTGCTAAAAAGCATCTTTTAGTGTTTATTGCATATACCATTAGTCAAGTTACAAAATCATGATTGTAGTTGAGCACTAGCATAGCTATCCAATGCAATACCCCATAGGAATCAAGACACAAGGTACAAAGTACTAGGAAATCCTTAGTGGTAGTCAAGGTAGACACATGCAGTATGAATTAAATGATTAAAGGTGTATAGGACAACAAGGAAGATCCCATGCTATACTTGCCTTAAACACCGATCCTTCGGTAAGCTTTAATATTCAATGTTCTTTTTCTTCTTGATCACCACGTATATCTCACCGACTGGACGAAATCATAAAGCACCACACAAGCATCCATACAATCATACATGAAGCAAATAATAGATCTATATTAGAACAGTACACCAAACATAAATCAAGATGAAAAGTTTGTACAACGAATCTACGTCTCACTACGAACACACAGACACGAAAAACACGCTAATCGGAGCTACAGTTGAAAAGATACAACTACCGAAAGATTTACTGTATACGCGGAAAAGAAAACTATAGGATTCATTTATTTAACTATATAAAGTCTTATATAAATTGGATTAAATCAAATTTAGATTTGAATTATAAAACTAAAGTAAAACAAATCACATTTTATTTACAAAACCCAGTTGCATAATTGTTATTTAAGATATGATCTAAACCATGAAATTCCAGAAATAGTGGCATGGTAACCACTGTTATTAACGCGTAGTTCTCGTTGCTATGAATCTAACGCAACTTGAATGGGTCAAAACGGATCTAAAACGCAAAAGATATGAAATAAACCAGATTTTCTTTATTAAAATAATAGATTAAATCTAATCACGAATTTTAAAAGTTGAAAACACATCTGACAGTAGTATGAACATGTAGGTTATGAAATTACGAACCTAGCGCAAGTTGAACGGATCAAATCGGAGTTAGAACGAAGAAACGGTGGGGATCCATCATTGATTGTAAGTGGTGTATTTCTATAGTATTGTTGGATTTGTTTTTCTATAAGAAAACGGCCATAAAACATATACGTGATGTCATCAAGCTAATTGGAACAGCTAACTAGAGCAGGGCACGGAGCACGCACGGTGCACGGCATCAAGAGCTTAACCAAAAAGGATATACATGCTTACATGGAGAACCTTCGCTTCCGGATAGAAGATTACGTTGCTAAGCTTACATACTCGTCAACCTTGGCGCTTGCTAGCTTGCATTATTGACATGCATGCACGGTGCTATTTGCTTGAACGTTTGCATATGTTGCAGTAGGAAGTCAAGGGACGGAACGCAAAGCAAAGCAGGTTTGCAAGGCAGGGAAGCAGTAGGTCGGCTGCAGCCATGGCCGGCTGTTTCTGCCATAGTGCATGGATGGATTGCTCGTGTGTGTATATAGAAGTAGGAAATTTTTTCCATATATATATATATGCATGCATGGCGCTTGAGTTGGGAGCATGCAGGTGTACGTGCTTGCAAGGCAACGGGATAAGCAGCAGCGTATGGATGGATGAACAGCTTGCTTGGTACAGATCGACACTCGATCGAGCAAGACAAGATGAAACTTGTGGCGCTGATTCTGGCTTTCTTGGGACGGTGGATGTACGCCGGCAGATTTTTTTGCCAGGGGAGCTCGGCAAAAACAGGGAACAGGGAGCTGGAGGCGCACCCATAAATGCGATGATGTTACAGGGCACGAGATACATATAGATGCGATCCAAAAACGGAACACCTGAAGGATAGGGATAGGGAAGGTGGTAATATTCTCACCTCGAGTGATGGATGAACCATGGTGGTGCGGCGGCTTGCACGGGGTTGCAGAAGCCTCTTGCCGGTTTCACGGAGGCGACGAGGCATGGAACTATGAAGGCAAAGAGCAATTCCGTAGATCTGTTCACCATCAGTCCATCAGCCAGCGAAGAACAGCATGCTGACGTGATTGATTTGGACAAGATGATGGTGCTTCACGTAGAAGGATTCCTCCGCCCTCCTGGCCATGGATCGGTAGCTGGTGTCCCCTCCTGTGCACCTGCTTGCGGAAGCAGCTGCTAGAATCTCGACGGCAGACAAGGAAGACATCACGGCGGCAGGCAGGACGACAAGTGATGAAGAACTCGGCGGCGTAGGAGGAGCAAGACGGCAACGGCGATGGCGACAGCAACGGCGAGAGAAAGAGGAGAAAAATATAATTTATTACATGAGGGATTTCCTAAACTAGGGGCTCTCCATATGGTAGTTTTGGTGTGCTTTGCCCAAGGGATTGGTTGATATATATAGGAAGAAAAACTCTCCACATCAACGTCAACCAGCGATATGATACTAATTGACGTTACACCATCCACCTGCACTAATGGGCCTAAATAATCATTAAAGCCCATTAGTAAATAAATGCACGTGCCTTTGAGATTTATTAGGATTATTGCACATGGGCTTTGAGCGTTGAGAAAAAATGAGAGATTTATTATTTTCGGAATTAATTAATTTCATGAATAAAATAATTCTGGAAAGGTCTAGAATTGATATTTAAACCATAAAAATAATCCAAGACCTCCGAAAATTTGGGAAAAATTCTCAAAGACATTATGGAACATGAGGAACCCAAATATAGTATTTGAAGCTCATAAAAATATTGTTGGAAACTTGGAACATAAAGATTAAGATGAAGGAGGTAGGAATTAAATTCCAGAAAGAAGCTGGAAAATTCCTAGAGATAGATATCCGTCTCCTAAACGTATAAAACACACACATTTTGCACATAGAAACACGAGGTGTGACCGGCATGAATGCAACAAACACGTTTCTACCTTATGATAAATTTTAAATTAATAAAAAAATTTATTTTCCTATGTTTTCATGTGCACAAAAAATTCACAAATAAATCATTTTAACTCTATTTTTAAAAGTGGTAAATTTTGGGGTGTTACATTATGCCTATAATTATCCATCTAGAAAAATCTATGACAAAGATCGCCGCTTTAGTTTTGTTTGGTTTCATAAGTACCATTGGATTGAATATAGCGTAGAGAAGGATGCAGCATACTGCTTCTATTGTTATTTGTTTGCTAAGGAAAGTGGAAAATTTATTACGGGTGGTTGGCATAATTGGAATATAGGAACTATATCACTTGACAAACATGAGTCTTCAACTTTACACAAGTTTGCTCAAGAGAAATACAGCTTATTTGTGAAAAAGGGTACAAAAATTGATACTGTCATTGAGAAGGTGTCAGAAAAGGATCGAGTTGATTACAAGGCTAGGTTGACTTATTCACTTAGATGTTTGAGATTCCTTCTGCATCAAGGATTGGCTTGTAGTGGGCATGATGAAACTGAAGAATCTAACAATAGAGGAAACTTCCTTGAACTCATGAAACTGAAGAATCTAACAACAGAGGAAACTTCCTTGAACTCTTGAATTGGCTTGCAGGAAATAATGAAGAGGTGCACAAAGTGGTTCTGAAAAATGCCCCAGGTAATTGCATTTTGACCTCCCCTCGCATACAAAAGCAAATTATTAGATGTTGCTCTGAAGAAACCACTAGATACATACTTGAAGAACTTGGGGATGACTACTATGCAATTCTAGCTGATGAATGTAGTGATATATCACATAAAGAACAACTGGCTGTTTGTTTGCGTTATGTTGATAAACGTGGAAGTGTTTGTGAAAGGTTCCTTGGAGTAGTTCATGTTCCTGGCACCACTTCTTTGGAACTTAAAACAGCTATTCAATCTTTACTCACTAGTCATCACTTGAGTCTTAGTTCTTGTCGTGGGCAAGGATATGATGGGGCTAGTAACATGAAAGGAGAGGTTAAGGGGCTGAAAACACTGATAATGAAAGAGTCTCCTTCTGCTTATTATGTGCATTGTTTTGCACATCAACTCCAATTAGTGCTTGTTGCTGTTGCCAAGGGAGATGTTGGGGCTAG